TGCCGTACATTTTATGGAGAACTGTTGACTGATCCTGGTAGAGTAGACTACAATGCCGGCTGTTCTGACTCACAGACTGCAAGTACGTTTAAATATTTAAAGGATTTGCCACTGATGATTCAAACCCGAGTTTTGAGCAGTGTAGAGTAGCGCTTGTTGTTTGTCATTTCTCCGATCACAAATGTAGACATGGTTTTATGTTTACGCGGCAGGATGCAACGCGTAAAAGGACAGTATAAGTCATTATAATCTGTAATTATGTCCCCATTGGATGCAACAAATGCCTCGTTTATAATGGGTTTTAATGTTTTTGTCTTGTCACTCCGGCCGGACAGGGCATCACAATATGGTAAGGGGCGTAACATTTCCGTCACACGCTTGAGGTATTCGGCCAATCACAACGCACTGGATAGCTGGCCAATCAGAGCACACCTTGCTTTTCAGACCGATGAGCTTTGTAAAAATCGACGCGTTTCAGAAAGGCTGGGCATAGAGGAGAAACAATAATGTACAGTATGTGGAAAATAATGTGTTTTTTAACCTTAAACCGCATAAACACATTTCATTACACAAAATAATGTTCTTTTTAGCAACATCATATGACCCCTTTAAATATAACAGACTAAATAAAAATGTTAGCCTTCACAAAGGGATGACAGAACTAAGGCATCTTGCATACCCCTGTCATAAGATCTTGTTTCACCTCTGTCTCGCACTACAAGAAACATAAAACAACCATAGTGGCAACTAACAAGAGCAGTGAAAAGTGATATGGCAAGCAGTGTGACTGTGTTTAATCTGTAGCTATATATATATATATATATATATATATATATATACAAACTGAGAGACCATTTTGAAGGCTCAGGAAACCTTTGCAGGTGTTTTGAGTTGATTAGCTGATTGGCATGTCACCATATTCTAATTTGTTGAGATAGTGAATTGGTGGGTTTTTGTTAAATGTGAGCCAAAATCATCACAATTAAAAGAACCAAAGACTTAAACTACTTCAGTCTGTGTGCATTGAATTTATTTAATACACGAGTTGAATTACTGAAATAAATGAACTTTTCCACGTCATTCTAATTTATTGAGATGCACCGGTATATATACACCTATCTGTCTGTCAAATCTTGTGCTTTGCCAGGCTGGGTGAATCACCTGCCTCTCTGCAAATGCTTCTGAAGAATCCCAGTGTTAGAAACGAGCCGCTGAAGCTTATTTTTAACAAGGTCCATTTCAGACTGATCTTTTTTTAGCAGATTGTGCAGGACATTTCAACACAAATTGCTGAAAATGCCCATAAATCTACATTATGACCGTTTTTGGAAAAGAAAAAAAAAATTTTTTTTAAACAATTAATCCTTTATGTTCACTTAGTTTAGTTAATGTTTCATATTGCTTATACTTTCTCTCTTTGTATCCGTCTCATCTCTCTCTTTGTTCCCCTATGTTGGAACCAGCAGCGACGGACACTACTCCCTATCCTAATGCCCTCTTTGTTCACCCTTATGTTGGAGGCCTGCTCTTAAAGCTTGGCATGGGCTAAGGCAGGCGAGAGGGTTGGGGTGGGAGAGAGAAGAGCGGGCACAGGGCAAACAAGGGGCAGACAAGGGGGCTTGGCAGACACCTGAAAGTCAAATCTGCTCATTTAGATTCAAGAGGAGCAGGATGTGGAAGAGACTTAAAAAGCCTCTTTGTACCCCCCTCGTCCCCCTTATAAGCTCCTACAGACAATTTCATTATGTTGCAGTCGTTTGTGAGCAGATGTTAACCTAATTTATTGACATTTAACCCAGAATGATTCAAATATTTATTAGCATTAGTTTATTTAATATTAAATATGTATTTAATATTATATACACTACTGTTGGTAAGACTTTTCAAATGTTTTTGAAAAAAGCCTCACCACGGCTACATTTATTTGATCAGAAATACAGTAAAATATAGATCATAATAAAAAGTGGTTGTTTTCTATTTTAATATATTTTCAAATGTAATTTATTCCTGTGATGGCGAAGCTGAATTTTCAGCAGCATTACTCCAGAATTGCTGCCCACATGGTTATTACTATGAGGATATTTGAATATATAGTTCAAAATAACAGTATTTATCTTTTGTTTATCTATTTATTTATCTTCGAACATGATCTAAATTCATGTTTATTTATTTTTTATTGGAAAGGATACTATATTTTCTCTGTCTCCTGATCAGAACACGTTGGCACCTTTGGAAAGTAAAAAATGTGGGGAACGAATATAATGTTGCACCACATGCTGGCTGCAGAATGTGCACCCCTGAAATTATTCCCCTCCTGCCATGTTGAACACCATAGATGAGTTGGGCTGCATTGCAGGATAAAAGGGAAGCCATATTGAGATCTCATGAACCATTTCATGAGCAATTCTCATGTGATTCTGCAACTTCAGAGGGCGGATACACTCTTCTTCATGTAGAAAAGCATTCGGCTATGAAAATATTTTTGTCAGGTTGCAAAATAACGAAATCTAACGTGTTTTATTTATAAAGAGAAGGACAAAAATACATATTTTTTTAGGTGGATGATGAATAATGTAGGTGAAAGGGTCTCTGTGACAGTGAGGTAATAGCACTCAAATATGTTTGACTATCTGGGGAGCGGTGGACCGCCAGTCAGACTGTGACCAACTGACACACTGACTGTCTCTCACACACACACACACACACACACACACACACACACACACACACACACACACACACACACATTTTCCATAAGAGGACAGTGAGCCGTGCTGTCTCTCGCTAGCTCTCTTTCTCTCTCTTGCTTGTAACTTTCTGTCTCTGCCATTTTGATGAGGATGAAAAAGTGTATCTCTTTTTCTCTCTCACTACGTGGCGTGGATTGGATGCCGACTGGAAGGAAGGAGGGAGGAGTAGGAGCGAGAGAGAGCGCGCTGCTCGCGTAGACGGAGAGATGGCATATTTGCAGAAAGAGAAATGTGGTGTGAAAGCAGTCCTTTTCAGTCTTCACTCTTTAGACTGTTCTGTCGTCCGTAAAGCTGCTTTTTCTTTTCTGCACTACGCTCTACTTCTCTTTCAGTGTCTGCTTATCTTCGTTATAAACTTCTTTCTGAATGTTTTTATAGCTTTATTTCATTGCTCTGTCAGTTTGTTTCTGTTTCAATCCGCTCCTTGCTTGTTTTTAATCGCCCCTCAGTTAGTTTTATTCATGGGAGTTAAAGACAAAGGGAAACGTCCACATTTTGGCACCACTAAGGGGAGTCAGAACTGCAGCCAAGGACCCTGCTGAGATCCAAAAAACCCCAGCACAGCGAAGCGCCAAAAAAAAAAAAAGAAAAAAGAAAAAACCACCCTTTCCTTTGCATGGTCACAAATTCCACTCTCCCTGTAGCCAGGGCAGTGCCGCAGCTCCTCCTCGACCACATCTCACCGCATTCGACCTTTCCGCCTTCTCTTCTCAGTCTTCCACGGAACCTTTTCTGACCCAGTTTTTGAGGGTTTTATTTATTTTTTATTTTTTTCACGGTAAATATGGATAGGACCGGCCGCACAGGAGGGCGAAAGAGGGGACAGGGGCTGTTTCAATGTTGTCTGCCAATGACTTGGCGATTTGCTCTGGTTGCCGTTTTGGCTTCTTTTTCGAGTTTGTAGGTGCTGTATGTGTTCTCCATTCATGTCAGGACGTGTTTATATATTAATGGTTCAATCGTGTGAATGAGCACTTTTGTACTTCCTTCTAACGTGCTGTCTTTCTTTTCTGCTTCAGATTTTTTGCAGGCAACGGAATTGGCCTAGTCTGCATCCTAAGCCTGACTCCATATTGCTGCCAGGTGTAGGCTTACTCCGGTATGGACATCGAACTGGTCAGCATCATAGACAGACGTCCTCCACCGGTACGCTGCTTTCCTATGCCCTTTTTTCTTCTGTCCGCTCTTTTAGTTCTTTTTCAGTCACAACTTTTTCCGAACTGCATTTTATTTACAATCGAGTCATTTCTTTTTAGTTTAAAAGTCGCGATAGCTCTCCGCATTGCTGTAAAAATAAGCTCCGGAGTCACGGTTGTCCACATTCCATTTCGCTTCACAAGCAAACATTTTTGTAATATTTTGCTTTTTGATTTTAAGTAAGAAATACCAGACCACTACATTAAGGTCATTTCTGAAATAAATGTAGGCCAACTGCGGTCAAACATTTAACATAATTTTTTTTTTTTTAAAGTAATTTTGCTGGTTCGGTTGTTGTCAGATATTTTTGTCCACGTACTGTTTGACGAGTCACAATTCATTCGTTTCCAGTGGCTAAAAAAATCAGCAGGCAAATAACAGCAATGGGTTCTGAGTGGTCGTACGATACCATGGAAACACATTTGAAATGTGAGACTACTGTATGCATGTTCAAGATTTGTTCCACCAACAACTTATTTTCTTTCTGTCTGGCAGTTTTCATTATATAATACACTGCGTCTCCGTGTAGAAATAGGTCAAATTATAATGTAGATATCTTTAACATTGTTCTGGAATAACCTTTGATTTCCCTTAGGGAGTGGCACTGTACCATGAATCATGGCATTTCTAATTGCAGCTTGTTGCACCTACAACTTGTACTGGGAAAGCCCTTTATGCAGAGTTTGTGATTTCTTATTTCTGTGTATTAAATGACTAATGGGTAAACCAAAAATATATTTGATGCACAGAATATATATTTAACTAAAACTCACTAAATCGGTTTAAAATGTTAGGTTTATTATTAAAATTTCGATACTTGATATTTCTATACTTGTATATACTGGGTATATACTGTACACTTTAAGTGTGTAGAGATTAAAAAATAAATAAAGTGTTTCTGCTATTGCTGCATTCTCACATGTCAGTCACTGCAGTATATTTGATCCAACAGTAGTGGTGTTGTCTGATCCGGGCACAGCAAACACCACCTGTGTCTTTCAAACTGACCTTCACTCTGAAGGATGTGTCTTAAACCAGTAGTGATTCGAAATGCAAGGAATTTATGGTGAAAAATGTTAGTAGGCGCTTAAACTTAATCATTTATCTAATTAGTTATTAAATGATATACTCAAAAGTTATTTTTCGTTAAACCACACCCAATAATTCTGCATAGGGCTGGGCGATATGGGCAAAAATTCATATCTCTGTGATTTTTGGTTGATTTGCGATATATGGTATACGTCTCGGTATTTTCGTTTTTGGATTTGGATTAAAAAAATCTGTATTTAATATATATTTCACTTACTGCCCAATGTTGTCCAACAAAACAATATATATTAAAGGCTATGAAAACAAATAAAGTGAATGTAACCATGTAAGCCTTATATTATGTGCAAAAAAAGGTTAAAATCACAATGCGCGCGGCGGCACTCAATCACTGAAGTGAAGTTTAGCGGAGTATCCCAGAAGGCTCGTGCACTTCTGACAGAAAAATGGAAATATTTCCATGGCTTTCTAACATTTACAAATGGAGAATATACCTGTGAAATGTAAGTTATGCATTCAGGTAGAAAGCACATCTCAAACACAGCTTGTCACATGTTTAGAACAAATTGGACTATGCACTTTCCCCGCAGCAGCTCAGTATGTGTCCTCCGCTATATTTTCAGATGCGCTCGTATCAAACTACTGTATATCGATATAAACGGTATTGCCTCATATCGAATCGCTTATAAAGAAAATAGCGATATATCGTACAAACTTGATATACCGCCCAGCCCTAATTCTGCATCAAATTATTAGAGTTGAAGTTGCGGTGATATTTAGGATTTTTTGTTTGACTCATCGAATCAATATGACTTATTCTGTATATAGGCAATATTCTTGGAGTAAATTTGTTCATTTTTTTCTTCGATTTCTTTTGGATACATAACTGACCCCATTAATTAATTTTACAGCATCAGTCCCTTTCTCTGTTTTTGCATTCCTAATCTTATCTTTTATCTATCCTTTTCATGAATTTCAGGTGATGTACATAATGATCTTCTTCCTCTGTATTGCCTGGCAAGACCATTATATCTTTCCAAAAAGTACTTAACTTTCAAACATGTGTGTCTGTATCTGTCTTTTTGTTTTTAACCACTTTGTTAAACTGTGCATGAGGTAAAAGATTCAACAGTCATAAGAATTAGCATTTCGTAATGCAGTGGATATTATTTTCAGTGTCCAGTGAAAGGTGGAGTTGGTGTAGCTGTGACGCAGTGCAGTGATGCCAGCTGCCACAAACCCGTAGATCCGAACTTGTGGTGACTCTGTGCACAAGCTCGTGTCTATAGGTATGTGTCTGCGAGGTGAACGCAACAGTCTTCCCTGCAGCCACTGACGCTGACTAGAAAACGTCTGTTCAGTGTTGACACTTACGCTGTAAACATTGTTTTAATGTTTTAAACATTAGCATCTAAGTTTGCACCTATTTATGAGCATAAATTGATTGCACCTATTTTTAAGATTAAGTAAAGGAGTTTTGGATGCTTGCATATGCGCAAACGTAAGCAGCGGTGACATTCTAATTTCCTCCCCTTCAACTATTACAGCGATGTCTCGGGATGAGGTAGTAGGTTGTATAGTTTAGAGTTACAACATGGAAGATAACTGTACAGCCTCCTAGCTTTCCTCGAGCAGACGCCCTTCTCTGTACAACATGCATTGCTAATGCTAATGAACTAGCATTGCAACTAATGTGCTAAGAGCAGTACAACTATCAGTGATCTGACTATCAGCATTGTATGTGTGAAGGTCTTGACAGAATGTCAGACAGAATTTAGATGTAGCATTTTGAATTGGATTTTTTTATGGCAAGTGCATACAACAATTAAGGCCTGTTCACATAGAGGAGGATAACTATAACTATAAAGTTTAAATAATTGTTTGAATTCTGTGTGAATGGGGGAATTCGCAACACAGCTATAAAAATAATGACACAGGGGAACAATATAATTGAAATCACTTTCAGAACCATTTTTTTTCCAGCTGATGAATAATAAAAACATTGACAGCCAGTTAGAAGCATTTAAAGCGGCGGATGACAGAACTACAGCACATGCTTATAATAAACACAATGTTATCATCCGTTGGTGTGGACGCTCTTATATTTATTGTTGTAGTTTTATGAATTATAGTCACCGTTCTTGGTGTGAACAGGCCTTTAGCCAGAATTACCTTGTTTGCTAAACGTCCGTATATCTTGGTTCCAATAGAACCTGTTCTTATTTTAACATTCAGATTGATCCTTATGTGTTTAATTCTCGCGGTTTAATTTAAAGGTGACATGTCATGAAAATCTGACTTTTCCAGGTTTTAAGTGCTATATTCAGGTCCCCGGTGCATCTACCAACCAAGGAAACGTGAAAAAGATTAACCCAGTAACTTTGTTTTGGTAAGCCTTTTTCTGCAAACGTCTGAAAAAAACGAGCGTCGGATTTCACTCCCCATGTGACATTGCAAAGGGATCTCATTATAATATTACCGCTCCTTAATCTGTAAGTTTCCACCCATGGCTCCGTCATTTGATTTCGCATGCGACAACAGTGTACCAGTTCTAATGCCATGGCGAAAGTTTGAGCAAAACATGCTAACAGTTCTGTCTTTGGCTGCACAGACGAGCACAGAACGCTATTTAGAGTCCCAGCCTCAGAGGAGACAAGAGAGCAGTGGAATTATTGATTTATTTACTGTATATTGCTGCTGCCACACAGATCTAAAATAAACATGCGATTTATTTCCCAGTTGTTTACCTTCACAGACATAACCAACTGTTTTTGTAACTCGTGTGTTTTTAACATAAACTTGTGTGTGAATGAGAACTTGCGTAGTTTATACTCACATGCTGTGACAGACGCTTTCTGTACGTGTGCACTCAGAAAAACATATATCAGAAGTTTAAACTAATATGGTTTAAAATGCATGATTTCAGCGCAATAAACATGATAATCAGAACCAAAAC